AATCACAGCAAAAGCTGTTATTCTCCGTGAGAATAATCACATTCTCTTTAGGCTGATGTTCAAAATGTAGTGAAAGCACACTCTCAGCTGATTAATAACCGGGAGGGATAAATCTAAATATTGTATGAACCCCTTGCCGAGCTTTCCCATGTAACCAATTTGTATTTACTCTGGTTTTTTTATTTTTTTTATTTTATTATTGCCAGGCAGTGAATATCAAAGTTGGTTTTTATATTTAGTTATTTAAGGGATATCTCGCTGCTAATGCTTAGTGACTACAACTTCTTAGCTAACTTTTAAGTGTGGTGTCTAACTTTGATAACAAACTGCAGTAGCTGCTACTGTCCTCAGGGCTAATTGATTTAAACTTTTTCACTCACCTATAAGTTTGTGATTCAACTGCAGAAAGGGCCATAATAGCAAAAAGTGGTCTGATCTTGGGGAGGGGGCAGGAGTAATTTATTTTAACCCTAAAAGTGCGTTTTTAGAAATGCTTTCTGTATGTTACCGTGCTGGTAAAAACTGATGTAAAAACGCCTATTTTTACACAAAGCTTATTCAAATGTTTTACTATTCTAAAATCCTTATTCTGATGGACATTTTCCCTATGGAAATACACTGTATCATAATTACATGATTATTTTCATAGCTTAGTTGTCTAATGTTCAAAATAACCTGTTCTTTGTGTGTTTTTGATTGCCATATGTTTCTTCTGTACTTATTTTTAATTCCATAATTGGAATGTTTTTGATTAGAAACATTTAGGGATATTCATTTAAAAAAAAAAAATTGCTCTAGGGTTCTTGGCTATAAAATCTGTTCCTATAGATATTCTGTATAGAGATTGGGTCAAGTGTTTTTCCAGAAGTAGTAGAAGTAGACAGTCATTTCTTCCACTTCCTGCTTTATTCAGCACAGTCTAGGAGCCATCCTGTGAAGGAAGTTTCACACTTCAATGAGCGGGCTGGGCAACAAAATGTAGGAAGTTGAGGTGTTGGCTCCCTGGCTAAAAGGCTATTTAGCATATCAAACCTACAGTTAATCTCCTCTCTTTGTTTTCAACTAAAGTAAAGTAACTCAATAGAAACTTCTGCCTATAAAGGGACCATGGACTCCCATCACACAGCAAAGCTTTCTACAAGAATTATGCCCTTGTTAAGGCAGAATTTTAAAACAAAATAAGTTACTCACTAAATTGCAAATTGTGGTGAATTGGAAGTCAAATTACAAAAATGATAAAAGATAAAAATAGCTAAGTTGTCAAAAGAACTGAATCACATATCTTCAGCTTTTCAGCTTTTTTTTGGCCTGCATTTTGAAATTCACCACGCTTGAATGTTCAGGTTAAAAAGGATGCAATATTGCACAGTACTTCAAAATATTATATAGTTTGCATAAATATCAGTACTGCATCAATTTTGGTTATATCTATTTATGATTTTGAATCAAAACTGTTCTTGGTTTGTTTGGTTTTTTTTTTTCCTCAAGGAACATTCAGGAAATTTAAAAAAAATTACATGTATTTGCAAATCCACTAGTTATAATAATTAAACCAAAAACAACAACATAATAATATTTTTTATTATTATTATAATCAGTTCAGTTATCACATTGGAGGAATTGCCCAGGAAGTGGCTGCAAGACCTAGCTGTCACGTATTCATCCACATATAAATATGTGATTAATGACATTTACTGTTCTGACAGGAAAAGTTGTGCTGAGCAGCAACCAAATCCACAGAAGGGTTAATGCTGAGCAGCAATTATGCAAATGGAAACCTGGTAACTGACTTTGGGGTCAAAGGCCGATTACAGCCTATCAGATCCAGAGGAGGGGTATTTAGGTCCAGTTCTAATCCTGCTCAGTGCTCTGTCGTGGTTTCCCTAGTGGTTGTCAGAGAGCGCGTTCCTGATTCAAGTTTCTTCTGGTTTTTGACTTTGGCTTTGATTTTGACTCCCCTGTATTCTGGTATCCCTGACTCCTGGCTTTCCCTTATCGTTGTCTCTTTCTGTATCCCCTGACCTCGGCCAGTATCCTGACTACTCTTTTTGGTACGTTAAGTTCGGCCATTCTAAGGCCCGGTAATACGTTACCTATTGGTCATCTGTGTGACAGAATTCCACGTGCTGGATCAACTAGTAATCCTGACACTGGCACTGGGAATAGTGTAAAAATAAATAAAACCAGAATTAGTTTTTTGGTTTGCAATTGCTAGAGCTTCTTCCCTCGTGGTTAGTAAACCATTGGCCTATATGTTTACAGTAATCTTCCAACTGTAAAGCAGTTTGTATAGAAGCTGGAGCTCTGGGGACACCTGCTCAGCAATTTATAAATGGATACGCTAAGCACCAAAACTACTTCATCTTAATAAAGAGATTTATTGCTGTGAATGGTTTTCAGAGAGTAGCTGTCAGAGTAGCTGCATGCAGAAATTGCCATGCTATCCCAAGCACTCCCTATACCTGTCTTTGAGATAAAGAATGCCCGTAAATAAATTAAGTATTTTAAAAGGGAGGCATAATCTATAAGTCCCCATGAATACTTTCACATTAAAAACCAAATATACATGTTTATTGTTAGTGTTCCTTTTACTTTTACCCTAAACTAATGAAGAGAAGATGCACAGTTTCTCCTAACCAGCTGGATGTTGATGTTCAGGAATTCAATTTGATCCCTGAAGGAAGATAACAATTAAACGTCTAAATCTCCACCTGATGATTTGTGAGAGATTTATTTATAATTAGAAGTTTGATAAATATCTTTGATTGCTAAATTTCTCATACTTGTTCACATTATTTCGCTTTGTTGAAGACTTTATCCAAGTGGGTTATTTACCCTACATTCACCGTTTGGATTTTGGTTTGCTGTACACTGGAGTTGGATACACGTGTTGGTGCATTGGGGATATAGTCTTGGTTTCTTGTTGAGTCTGTTTTTGGCATTGTACATATTGTATTGTCTTCTGTAAGCTCAATATTTAGTTTAAAAACAAAGGAAAGGGAAGTGACACTTTAACACAATTCTATATGCCACTTGTTTGCATTGTTTGGTAAGTATAGTGTGTCCCTCTCAACTTACTCATTCGTATGTATTTAAAGGAAAAACATTGGATGTATTAATGACCTTATGAAGACCTACTTCAGCTCCTGGACTATGCTGCAACGATCTAGAAGTAGTTGAGAACTTTAAACCAATTCAGCTTTATATGCATCTGCACATATATAAAATGGCAGCATGTACATTTACACACTCACCTGTTTGGGTAATAAATGAGATGAGTATAATTAAATGAGTTGCATTTCTGCAAGGAAATGAGTGTGAGCTGACATGCTTGATTACACATTCATATATATATATTTTTTAAATAAATATAAAACAGAGAGCTGATCACTGCACAAGTTTACATACTACTCTATATACTCTCCTTTTAAAATCTGAAATGTAATTTAGTTGCTTGGGAAATGATAGATGAATATTGCAGAACTGACTTCTCTCTTCACTAAGAAACTTTGGTTCAGTCTTTCAGTAAAAAAAAAATATATATATATATATATATATATATATATATATACGATTTTATATATGTCTAAAAAATGTTTTAATTACAAAAAAGGGCACTTTTTTAATATCTGCTTTATAGGGTATAGTTAATCTTTTACCACATACAATGCTTAAAGGGGCATACATCTCTTGACAATTAATTGTTTAAACCAGAAAGCAAACACAGAATGTGACGGCATACCATATGGCCCATCTAGTCTGCCCAATTTTTGAAATACCTTAATTAGTCCCTGACCTTATCTTATAGTTAGGATAGCCTTATGCCTATGTCACGCATGCTTAAACTCCCTCACTGTGTTAACCTCTACCACTTCAGTTGGAAGGCTATTCCTTGCATCCACTACCCTCTCAGTAAAGTAATACTTCCTGATATTATTCTTAAACCTTTGCCCCTCTAATTTAAGGCTATGTCCCCTTGTTGTGGTAGTTTTTCTTCTTTTAAATATAGTCGTCTCCTCCTTTACTGTGTTAATTCCCTTTTATGTATTTAAACACTTTATAAAAAAAAAAAATATATATATATATATATATATATATATATATATATATATATATATATATATATATATATATATATATATATATATATATAAGCACGATAAACTTTGAAATGTATGTAATAATCATTTTATAAACGTACTATAAACTTGGTTATATTGAATTGCTGTGCTCTCCTCTCAGCTAGGGGAGTTGCTTAAGCCACCCCCGCTTCACCCTCCCTCTTACCCACTAGGGATCGACCAATATTGATTTTTTTTTTTTTTTAGAGCCGATACCGATATTCTGTGAACTTTCAGGCCGATAGCCGATATAATTTGCAGATATTCTGTACATTTATAATTTTGGAAAATAAAAACTATTTCTAAAGGTAAAGGCACAAAATATACATGCCATGTGTAGTGGATGCAGTGTGTTTAGACAGGGGAGCTGTGTGTGTGTGTGGTGGATGCAGTGTGTGTGTGTGTATATAATGAAAGCAGAGTGTTTGTGTAGTGTGCGTAAAGTGAATGTAGTGTGTGTGTGTAAAGTGAATGCTGTATATACTAAATGCAAAGTGTGTGGGTTTGTGTAGTGTGTGTGTGTGTGTGTGTATAGTGAATGTAGTGTGTTTATATAATGTGTATATAGTGTGTGTTTGTGTAGTGTGTAGTGGATGCAGTGCTTGTGTAGTGTGTGTAGTGGATGCAGTGTGTAATTAGTGTAGTGTGTGTGTGTGTGTATATAATGAAAGCAGAGTGTTTGTGTAGTGTGTGGGCATTGTGTGTAAAATGAATGTAGTGTGTGTGTGTATAAAGTGAATGCTGTATATACTAAATGCAAAGTGTGTGGGTTTGTGTATGTGTGTGTATATAATGAATGCAGAGTGTGTGTGTGTGTATTTGTGTAGTGTCTATAGTGAATGTAGTGTGTTTATATAATGCAGTGTGTTTGTATAGTGTTTGTATAGTGTGTGCATATAATGCAGTGTGTGTGTAGTGTGCATTATATAAACACACTGCATTATATACACACACTATACAAATACACTACACTGCATTATATAAACACACTACACAAACACACTGTGTATAAAATGCAGTGTGTTTAGTGTGTTTATATAATGCAGTGTGCTTGTGTAGTGTGTTTATATAATGCAGTGTGTTTGTTTAGTGTTCATTATATAAACACACTGCATTATATACACTGTGTGTTTGTGTAGTGTATGTGTATATAATGGAGTGTGTGTGTGAGGGGGCATTTTTTATTAAAATTTTTTTATATATATATATTTAATTATTATTTATTTTTGTTGTCCCCCGCTCCCTGCTTGTTACCTGGCCAGGGAGGGGGGATATAGCAGTCCCTGGTGGTCCAGTGGAATTGGCTGAGCTGTGGGTGGCCCGCAGGTAGTGCTTACTTACCTCCCAGCAGCTCCCCAGTGTAAGTCTCGCGGCCAGCGTGCCGCGCGGACCGTTGCCATGGTAACCCGTGGCAACGCTCTGATGGCCGCGGGTCTTGCGAGACTTACACTGGGGAGCTGGAGGAGCTGCTCGGAGGTAAGCGCTACCTGCGGGCCCCCCCAGGACCGCTGGGCTTGTAATGAGCCTGGCGGTCCTGTTATATATCATCGGCAATAACGGTATCTGAATTGGCCGATACCGATATTGTCGAAAATCCCGAATATCGGCCGATAATATCGGTAAAAGCGATAATCGGTTGATCCCTATTACCCACCCATCTCTGTGTCATACCAGTCCTCTAATAACAGAAACGGGGCATCATTGTACAGCAGCAGGAGGGAGAATGCGGACACTGGAGCCTGCTCTGGATGAATCACACTGATCAGACTCCCTATTTTACCCCTGTCAGGATGATGTGAGAGGAAGAGCTCTTCCAACTCCACATGTGTAAATCTGTCAGCGATGCCCAATACACTTTTCCAGCATTTCGTTGATAGGACACTAATTGGTTAGATCAGTGTCCCCCTGGAGTGAGTGTGGAAAGCATAAGAAAGAAAAAGCTGGTGAATAGATTTAAAATAATCGTACTTACCTGCTTTTATTAGCATGCAGGGTGAGGCAATTGTGACATTCAAAGCAAAAGCTTTTGAATGAGACATTTATCTCAGATTGATGCATGTTTGTTTAACAGGAAATGAGACTAGTGAAATTTCATACCCGTATTCATTATGCATGTAAACTACTGTGTATTCAGACCATTTTAATTGTTTTACTTGTCCTTCTCCTGACTTGCCAGCTAAACCACACTAATCAAGTAGTGTCTTCTGCAATTTGTATTTAATTATTCTAGTTCTAGATCCCCAGCTGGATTCTGTCAATCTGAATCCCACAATATGGTGCATCTTCTCTGCGTGCCTCTCAGCAGCAGAATTCTTCAGTTCAAGGTTATGACACTACAATTCAAAGCTGTAAACAATGTCCTATTGACATTATTGTGGAAGAGGAAGCTTGTTGGTGATAGATCTTTGCCCTCTCCCTGTCTTACTATATCATCACCTTCCAAAGATATTCAAAATGTTAAAGAGAGGTCTTAGTCTGCAGGACATATAAGTACACTGACCCAGTTTGCAGTGTCCAATGCTAATTAAAGTATCATTTACATTTTGGGTTATGATTCATTATTATGTACTGAGTTTTGGAAACGGCAGAGGCAGGGATTTGTGAAAGACTGAAGTTTGGTTGGATTTTTTTTTTTCACTCTATATTATTATGTAACATCAGACTGCCCTTTGATGGATGAATCCATTGTACAGCGCTACGGAATTTGCTGGCACTACATGAATAATAAAATAATAATAATAATTTAAGGGGGCATTCAGAGCAGCATAAACATTTGTCACCATAGGCTCTTCCCTATTCGTATAAGTACCTGTATGGTGTTACATTAGTGTGTTTATATACTGGCTATCTAATAACTTTGCAAAATCATAGCTTTCTAAAAATTACTCGTGTTTGATTGCTCACAGATTTCACAAATGAATGACACTACTGCTTACTGCAAATTCATCATGTGAAAAGCTTTCCAGAATGATTGTACTAAATTACAAACCAGCACTCCACCATATATATCTGTCCTTACCTACTCTACGTAACTAAACCTAGGCTACATTAAGTACCCAAAGTGTGCTTTTATATTGTTAATTTTTTGTACACAGTTGCAATAAAACCATAGCTAGTTTGCATAAAGTACAATCCTTTACGTGCAATGTTTTTCAACTGTTGTAAACGTCAATGGGTACAGTATTCTTACATTTAGTTATGGCATTTTATTGCTATTAATGAGCCTGTTTTATCCCACCCTGTGAGTGGTTTTGTCCTTTTTTTTTTTTTTCTTGTCTCCAAGTCCTAATTATTTTATACATTTTGATTGTAAAAATAAACTTGGGCAAATTATGTGTAAGAATGTAATAATACTGCCTTGACATGACCTTAATTCCTCTTAAGCATATAACAGTTTTTTGTTTTTTTATTCTCACAAACAGTCTGCAACCTTCTAATGAGCTTACAAATCTTAGTAAGCTTTGTGATGTTTGGTTCCCCCTTGCTGTTAGCATGTTGCTTTACTTTAATTATAATCATTTTATCAAAGTTTACTGGCTCTATTTCTGAAACCGAGTTGGGATAAAGCAAATTCAGTTGCTGACTAATAAGTGGGTTTCTATCCATGCAGACCAATGTTCCCATATGTAGTGGGTGACCATTGGCGCTGTAGCAGTTGCAACCTGAGTTTGTCATGCAGCTGGTAAAGAACCATAGGAAATATTAAACTTGTTCATTTGGGATTAGCAAATATTAATATGAGAAAGTATTGGTTGACGATTTTGACTGTCCTGTATTATATTGTATTATAAAAAAGGCAGTGTTTACATTGCCTCTAGGGACACCTCCAAGTGGCCACTCCTTAGATGGCCACTGGAGGTGCTTCCTGGGTCAGTGCTGCTGAAAAAGCAGCCCTGACGTTCAGCATCCCCACACTCTGCATGGAGACGCTGATTTCTCTATGGAAATGCATTGGATTGGCTAAAAATTGGCCATTTTGATGATGTCACAAAGGGGGCGGAACCAGCGCCGGCGGACTTGTGTGGCGCTGGAAATAAGGTGAGTTTTAAACTTTTTTATTTTTTTATTTTTTTTTTATAGGGGAGGGCTAAGGGAGGGCTAGCCACCTAAATAACACTATAGGGTCAGGAATACATGTTTGTGTTCCTGACCCTATAGTGATCCTTTGAGATGATTCATGTACCTTGCTGAAAAAAATAACAAAATTAAAATTACAGGAATTATTACATTAAATAACTTTAAAGTACTCAAAGTCATATCATTTAAATATCAATCATGCAAGTATAAAATCAAATTTACTTTGCTTGTAGATATAGTTTTTAGCTCCATTTATTTATTTATTTATTTATTGACCATCTTTATTTTAAGTTTTACAGGAAATAGTTACAAAACCACATTCAAGGTCAGACCATTTGACATTCACGTTAACATACTGACAATCATATTCCTTCTCAGATTATGTGAAAATGACCACTCAAACCCGTTACATGCTATTAGTAGGTTTAACAATATAAAAAAAAAACGGAAACTAAGCCTGTGTGTGGCCTGCAACCAGTCATAATACTTTGTACTGCAGCAGAGGTCGTCGGGTGTTTCTGCCTTCTCATCTGATCGCCATATGCAAACATTGGAGAAGGGGGGTATGGGGAGTTTGGAGCAGGGACATGGGGAGTGGTCAAAAAAGTAAATAGGAAAGAAGAAAGCAAAAGGTGAGGGGGGGGGGGAAAGGGGATTGTCCTTATCCTAAGCCTCTGGGAGGAAAGCTTATTGGTCCTTCTCCAGTCTGTGAATATTAATTATGAATGCTAGAGCCACCTTAGCCAGTGGTAAGTAGGAATCTTTTGATGACCTCAACAAGTGGCAGCCTGGTGCCCTCCCCATCCCACTACATACTTCATCCAGGGAGTCCAAGTGAGCCTGTATATCTATGTGTGTGGACCTAGTTGTGCTGTTAAGGATTTCATATTACTTATTTTATCCACTTTTGTCCCCCATTGTTAAAGGACCACTATAGGCACCCAGACCACTTCAGCTTAATGAAGTGGTCTGGGTGCCTGGTCCAGATAGGGTTAACCCTTTTTTTTTTTATATATATATATATATATATCAGTTTCAGAGAAACTGCTATGTTTATAAATCAGTTAATCCAGCCTCTAACGCCTCTAGTGGCTGTCCCATTGACAGCTGCTAGAGGCGTTTGCGTGCTTCTCACTGTGAAAATCACAGTGAGAAGATGCCAGCGTCCATAGGAAAGCATTATGAATGCTTTCCTATGAGACTTGCTGAATGCACGCGCAGCTCCTGCCGCGCATGCACATTCAGCCGGAGAGGAGGAGGAGAGCTCCCTGCCCGGCGCTGGAGAAAGAGGTAAGCTTAACCTCTTCCTCCACCTAGAGCCCAGTGGGAGGGGGCACCATCAGGGCATTATAGTGCCAGGAAAACTAGTTTTTTCCTGGCACTATAGTGGTCCTTTAAGGAGTAAGCACTCCACTCCTTTTCCATAACAGAGGGATCTGTAATTTTGCTGGGTTTAAAAGCTGTTTAGTGAGTGGCTTTTTATATGTCGATATAGGGAGTTTAGTGTGATGCAACAATATGGGTAAGGGCTGGTAAGGCAAGTCTGTCTCTGTGATCTCATTCATAGTGGTATGAACCTGTTCCCAGTAGGGAATTATCTGAGGGCAAGTCCTCCAAATGTGAAAGCCTGTTCCAACCTCCTCCCCACACCTACAGCACACATCTGGTATCTCAGAGTTAATGCAGTGCAACAGCTCTTGGGTCCTGTACCAATTTGTCAAACATTTGTATCCCATCTCCTAGTTCTTGGAGCAAGGTTTAGTGTGCGAGGTTGAAAATCTTCTCCCATTCCTGTTCCGCCAACTGCTATTTGGGATTGAGGCATAGTACCTCAGGAGTTGGTCCTATCTATATCTATCGGTACCTGTTGGACACTTTCCCCAT